AAATAAATAAAACCCATAATCAGCTTTTTATTGCTGCAGAGGCCATCTGGAAGGCAGGGATGGGAGTGGGGAGGAGCAGGGGGGCGAGTAAGAGAAGAATTTGAGGGAGGCGTATTCTGGGGAGGAATGGTTTTTGGGGGAATTGGAGAAAAACAGGAATTATTTCGAGGCAGGTTAATCGTCATCCAGGCGAGTTGCTGCTTTTGACCTTTGGTTGGATGTATGTGCAGCTGCTTGTTGCAGTGATCAGTGACTTTTGAACGTTTTCAGCACACACTCTGGAGCCTGGAAAAATCAATGGACGACCCAAACTAAAGGCGCTTCCAGAGTTGGGGACATTGTCAATCCTGAGATCTCTGCCTGGCACGAATAATTTCTCGCATAATTTTTGCATTTTGAGGATGCTGTGCGACCCTGCTATAGGATATCGTTGAAATTTATCGAAAAAAAACAACAAGAGAACAAAATATTGTGACACCGAGGGACAAATCAGCATCCTGATGCACCACCAAAATAACAGATAAGTAGAAGTGAATGAAGTTAAGCAACAATGCCAATTTGCAGCACATGGCAAAAAAAAAACACTTCCTACGGGATTGGCAAAAACGCTAATTCGCCTACCTACCTGGAATGCTGCCTCTCACCGTAAAATCCACGAAGAGGACACTACAAGGAAGGCTGCAAGTCTGTGAACATCAGCACTGTGAGTGTCACTGGACGCAGGAAGTTCGACGATGACGTCCTGGCATTGTTGTGACTGCTGGGAGATTTGCGGAAGGCCAGATTTTGATTAAAACGGCAACAATTTTAGGAAGGCCTCTTACCAATTTCTGGCAAATTTAGAATATGAAATCCAGAAAAAACCAGGAAATCCTCAGGTCTGCATAGCAAGTAAGTCAAAAATGTCCTCGGTGAGGCACCGTATTTATTAGCGCCAAAACAATATAGATATATAGTAATTTCAAAAAATCCCTTTTCTGGCAAAAAGAGGCCAGTGGGAGGGAAATATGAGCCAGTGCACTGATCCACTGAACTTCGTCCATATCGTTTCGTGGTAAAATGAGAAAACACACGTGAGAATGGAAATTCTTCGTTTACACACTGCGGGATTGGAATGATTTTGAAGGAATGATATTGCTGCTGGGATTCTCTCCAAGCAAAATGCATCGGACACTTTTAAGAGATGATCATACGACAAAAATTTTTCAGGAGCGGCAACTTTTTACCCGGGATACTCAAATCAGCTGCAAAAATCACTGCCCAGTTATAAGTGGTTATGTATTTGACAATTTTTCCTGATACTCTTACCGGTGCTGCTGTATCGCGTTTGGTGGTCAGTCCGTTGGCGATCTTCACCTTCTGGGAAACAACATCTTAATTAACTTGTTAAAATTTTACTAAGAAAACTGATTAAAATTATGGAAATAGTGAATTATTGGTAAGAGAAATGCAATAGGAATGATGATAACACATGGCTAATGTATTTCTGCAAAAAAAGCTATCGTCTCAGCCTGCGTATACTGGAGGGGAAGAGAAGGACCTGTTCGAATTTTGACAAGTTAAAGTATTTTAAACAAGAAATACTCCACGCTCTCTCCCACATCTCAAGATATGCGTGGGAAGTTATCAAAAAAGCTGCTGCTACTCATTTCGTTACACAAAAATATATGAGAGCAAAATGTGAGGATACGTAATTCAAACTCGGCACCGCCTCAAAGATAGGTTTTCACAGAAGCCAAGTTTAGCGAGTGAAGGCTTTCTTTCATTGAGTGAGTTAATTTTTGTGTCATTTCCGGTTATAAAATTGGGTTGCGTCTGTTTGCACAGCCAACAACTCACGGGAGGTTGCTGGTGCAGGCCCCAGCAGCAGCAGGTACACCAGGACTCTATTCCTTTTTCTCAGCCATTTTCTCCTGCTTGAACTTTTTGCCGCCGCCTCTTACATAGGACTGGTAGAAGAAATTAGCGAACAATATGATGTACGAGATTTCCATGCCCAAGCAGAACAGATAGGTACGCTGAGTGCCGTCCACAGGTACATCACTGGCCATCAGATAGCCCACATGCAGCAGGATGAGCACTGTTATGACGAACTGAAGCATTTGCATTGTGGTAATTCGGGCAGCAATGGATGCCGGTATGCGAATACCCATCGAGCGCAGAAAATAGTAACTGAAAATAAGCAGCTACACATAGATGCAAAGTAAACTCTCAATACATATGCATGGAAAGCTCCCTCAGTCTACGGATGGAAGCGCTCATGAACTGATGGTAATGCATGATCAACACACACACACACACACCAATGGCATCTTTTTGAACAACTAAAATGTTGCTAAACGCTTTTATCTCGAGAAACGCTGAATTGGTCAACGACAGCTTGACCATTAGGCTGACCATCAAGCAGCCAGCACTAATCTAAGCAACAGAAGAGCTGGAGAGTCAGACTAATAACTACAGCTAATTCAACATACACACATACATATAACTACAGCATATAGTATACACACATACATACCTACACACATACATACACATATATACATACATGCACACATACATTCCTACACACATACATACATACATATATACATACATATAGCTTCAGCGTGCATGCATATCCACATACATACACACATGTGTAGCTTAAGAAGCACATAACCTAGTGGATTAGAACACTGTTTCAAATTCCCCATATTAAAATTTTCCCTCATATATAGGGAGAGGACAATTCAAAATGTGCTGTTTCAGATTTTGCATGTCAGCTAACAATATATTCGAAAAGAGTGATTTGAAATGGAGCAAGTTTGCAATTTAATTATATGCAGCTTGATGGACCGAAACATCGTAGTCTCAGCTAAATTATTAATTTTTTATGGGTACTACAGATATTTCTAACACATATTTCACTCGTCCAGTAACGTCAGTAATGCTACTCAAGTCTAATAAATATTCCAGCATCTAGTACCAATTATTTATATATGCCAATTTTACAGGCGAAAAAGAAGAAACGCAGACCTGTACATGAAGCTATGGACGGTGAAGTTCAGCCAGATGATCCAGGTGTTGTACGGTGTATGCTCGCTGTACGAAATGATGCCGTAGTTGAGTGTCAATACATGGTGATACCAGTGCAGAAAAAGCAACGGCTTTTTGCGCAGCACAATGAGGAATGTGTCACCAAGCTCGGCAAATTTCGACATGCAAAACAACCACGACCAGTATCCGCTGTTGCCTTCGAAGAAATCACCTATCTTCGTGTACGATGCTGCAAAAAAAGAAAAAAAAATTTTTTTCTCCAAAAACCAAAAAGTTGCACGGACAGAAAAGAAAACTAGGCTAGGAATATCCCTGTGAAATTTCAATTTCTCAGCTTCTGCA